CTGTAAAATAAATTTTTCAAGCGATTCTCTCAAAGGGAAAAGCATGAGCGGTTTCTATCATTTCTTCTAATAACTGAACACAAGCGTTCAAACATGAAGCAGTTGGTTCATTTTCTTTATGGCACAATCCCTCCTTCTGTTGCCTGCATACTCCCGACGAGCGTTATTCATCCGAGCGCATAGGAAGCTCCGTGGAGCCTGCAGAGGCGTCAGCTGAAGGAAGAGCACGAAACGAGTGGAAGAGAAGAAAAAGATAACTTAGCTTCGTTCTTGGCTTGAGAATATCTGATATGCAGGCTAAAAGACCATCCTGGTTATGGAAAGTCGAAAACATGCATAGGTAAAGTATAATGAAGTGATTTCAAACGAACCCGAATCGATTTTAGGGCTCTAAACCCGAACAAAAGTGTCATAGCTCCTATAATCCGCTCCTATATACTTCTAGGAATCGCGATAGGAAATTCACATCCACCGGCAGTGAGCTGTGTAAATTGAATTTATTATTTATAGAGGAAAACAAGTCCTGTCTGCGTAATTAGTTGTCTTGATAACTGGAAATTTACATGCCAGATTAGATTCAACATGACACAAAATTCTCTTACAGCGAATACTTGTAGGGAAATCGATGCGGAGCCCTCTCCTTGTGAGCACCTTGGAGATTTGACAGACTTAAAAGTCGCTGGCTATTTCTTGAAAAAACTCATGACAATCATAAAAAATGGTATGGCAAAGAAATACAGTTTAGTTGGTCGTACACTGAAAATATTTTGTCTCCGAACTGAGCCCCATGTTTTGACTTCCTGAGTAAACCATGCCAATTAGCAATAGAGATTATTCTTTGCGATTAGGTATATTTTTACTCTTTATCTATGTAAACTTTGCCTAGAACCGTGCCAAATATCTTTGCCAAGATCTCACTCGTGGGAGAAGCTGAAACACGCGATGTAAAAGCAATTTTTATTTATTGTAAAAAAATGCAGACAAAAGAGGGAAGTCTCGCCCCATCGTTGCGCCCCGGAACTGGGGAGTGCCTAATCCAACGACAATACGATCATGGCTCTGGATTACGTCTGTCTGATCTCGTTCATTGTTCTTGTATCATTTGTCTTTTAAAAGCTCGTGGGGAGGTATGGTTGACGGAAGGAATTCCTTTGCAGATCATGTTACTTACTTAGCTTATGTCTCAAGAGCAGTGATTAACCAGAGCCATAATCTTAGTCTGGCTTTACAACTGAGTACGAAGTAAAAGTAAAGAAGAAGAAGTGACTTACAGAGTGGAGCGCCCCTTCTACAGCAGATAAACAAGTCTTCTGTTTAAATTTCACAACTGAGCGAAAAACAGCACATCTGGGTTGTGGTCTCAATATTTTGGTTTAACAAATGTCTTTTTAGAAACTTAATTCATGTATAATGTAAAATACCACGTGTGCAGAATTCGTGGGCAGCACTGTCAAAAGTGATTTTAAAAATTTAAGATGTAAATTTAAATAGACTTGCCAACTCAGCAGAATCTCAATCTCAGAGAAAAATAGCTAGATATCAACTGCACATAACACGTTTTTATCAGATTTCTTTAGGGTAGTACCCAGGCTGTTCCATTTCAATTTATAGTATGGCCGCTCGATAGGGCCACGGATTTTGAGGGTGTCTATCCCTAAATAGGGTATCATTTTTGCCCTTGTTGGCGTTTTGTTTCTGGTGTGATCCTTAGATAGGGTGCCGTTATTATATCGGCTAAAATGCAAGAACTTATAAATGCCCAGTTTACGTACGCGATAAACAAGTCACGGTAGAAACTAACGTTACCTTCGAGTATTAGAAAGGTGATCTAAGGAAGATGTGTGTTAATTAAATTCTTAGCTTTTGTTTTTTTCCTTGCATAAGGGTATCAGGTTTCGTTACTCTTATCCTTAATTATGTTCAGGGTTCGAACTGTGGGCGGTACACACCTATCCGAAATTATGGAGTACTTGGCCAGGGCCATGATTTCTAACCCCTGATGCTTAACATAGCAAAGCAGATTAATAACTATCCTCTTCTGTTGCACTTAGTTTAAATATGAAAAGACCCTTTTTTTCTTTGAAAGACGAAGCCACCACCGGACGTCGGCAATTTTCAGAGATACCCTTATCATATCCTAAACTAGCCTGCGTAGCTGGCGGTATTGTGTAGTAGTCGGGTGAGATTTGGCGGCGGAGCCGTTGTAATATAGTCGAGTAATCGTCCCTACTCCCTTTTTTTGGAACATGGCTCCGCCGCCAAAACTTTAATCTCGCACCCACACAATACCGCCAGCTACGCAGGCTAATCCTAGACCAGAAGTTATGTGTTCCGATAAATTTCCCGTATACGACTTGTAATCGGAAATGCACGCTGACCCGGCCCAGAGGAATGACTAGGCTGTACTGTGATGTTCCCACTCTTTCCTTAAACTGCGTTTTTGGCGGACTTGCCCGGAATATTCGCCACGAGATCATCACATGATAATCTCAGTTTCTTTCCACATCATGTTTTTGGAAATGACTATATTTTACCTTCCCGAGAAATAAACAAAAACGATCTTTTCTGTAGGACCACCCAAAATATAATAACAACTGAACAACAACTGCAAAGGGCCGCAAACGAATATGGAAACAACTGAAAATGTCTTGATCTCGCCGCTCTTTTTAGGTTCTGTATCGGTGTCGTGTTTATTATGCCCTGTAAAGTTAATTTTTACGTAGTACGATCATCTTTGCTCTGGATTCATTTTTACACAGAATGTATCCAACAATAATCACATTTGGCGCAAATAAAAGATATTAACCCTTCTCAGTCAACTTATTTTTTGTACTTTTGTTACAAACGATATAGGTGTGCCCGGGGCTGAGATTGTTGGACCGTCAACACAAGTTTTGTCCTGTCTGTTCTGGTCCGCTACTAGTTTTGGTGAGTTTTTAATCATCTCCTCTAACTTTTGAACAACTTTTTGTGTTGGGAGCAATTTTTTGCTGTTCCAGCCACCTAGAGCGACTTTTGCCTTTCTGAGCAATTTTAGAGGATATATCAAGACCAAAAAAATCAATGACTTTTTGATTGTTTATCAACCTAAAGGTGAGCTTAACAGGAAGCCGCTTAATGGACATTTGGATCGATTACAGAAAAAGAGGAATACTTCTCCTACATTGTCTTATAAATTGCAACTATTTTAGGTAAGTTTCAAGCTATTTTCTTGACCAGCTGTAAACATTCTCGTGAAAAAAAAAACTAAAACGTTTGATGAACGTTTATAAAGTCGAACCTCCGCTAACGGCGGCCTCTCTACAATAGCCTACGGAGCTAGCGTTTTTTTAAAGGAACGGCAGTGTAGAAGGTCAATAGTATAGTGAAACCCCTCTAATATTATAAGCGATTTTGACCCAACGCGCAATTTACCCCGCTGTAACAAATATTTTGTCCGGTTGCCAGCAGCAGTCAGTAAAAACGACAGATTTGAGTAGAAATCACAGCGTGCTTCAATTGAAAGTGTTTTTGAATTTGATCTCTTGATCTTCAACGCTTTACACTTACAGTTAGGGTATCAAATGAATAAAAATAATGCTTTTTAAGGTTTTCTGTTTTTTTTTTCTGGTTTTCTACGTGCAGTATTGAATTTTTGGTAATTGTTATTTTTTTAATTACCCCAACCGACTTTGGAAGTTCTTTCACTACACCGTTTGTTTGTTTATTTTTTTTTTCTTTTCAATATACACAGGTTTCTGAAAATGATCTGATCTCCTTGATAAAAAATCTTGTGTCTGAGAAACTTGGAATCCCTGCTGTTCAGCAGAGGTTAGTTTTCAAGGGAAAAACCTTAGCAGGTAATTATAGACTACATTATAACTATTTCACATTGTTAACCAGATAATTCGTTATAACGGAGTCTTCGCTATCCCGCTATAACGAACAATTTTTTCGGTACCCTGGCACTTCGTTATAGCGGGGTTCCACTGTATATGATCGCGGCGGTCATCTTGAAAGCGAAAAAAACAAAAAACAAAAAAAAGGACTAAGGGAAGAGTAGCCTGGGACCAGGCTTCGCAGAGGGGCAATTCGTAAAAGGCAAAAACAGAAAAACGGGGCCAAATAGGAAAAATACCGGCAAGCGAAGCGAACCCGGCGGTTTTTTTCGCCCACGCTGATTACTTTTTCCTTTACCCCCCAAAGCGGAGCCTGGTTCCAGGCTAAGGAAGAAACGGGGGAGGAGGAGGGAAACGGAAGAAAAACTACTCCCCTGATAACGCCAGCCTGGGAGGCAAGGAGATCATAACCCCGCACTGGAGAGAGGGATATTAGCGCTGTTTCCAGGAGAGGAAATGTAATGTATTCACGCAGATTCATGAAATCAACCCGACTGGAAAGTTTTCAAAGAGACCGTGGAATTTATGTAAAGCGAGTACGGTTCACAAGCAAAGCAAGTATTGGCAATATTGGAGTGTTTCTAGATGTCAATTCTGTATACACTGGATTTAATTCACCTAATAGATCACCTTTTAAGTCACCTTAAATCGCCTAAAGTCGCATAACAATTTGAGCCAATTTTCCTAAAGTCGCCTTAAGTCGCCTTAAATCGCCTTAAGTCGCCTAAAGTTTCGGCGACTTAAGGTCCCAGACGGCCTTCGAAATATCAGAATATTTCGATTGAAGCGATTCACTGGCGATTGCCAATCGACGTTTTACGGACGAAAACACCGCACCGAATTCGTTTTGACGGAAATATGTAAGTATGCGGACTCTGCGAATTTCAATTTACTTGTCTATTCGTGTAGACGAGGCCTTAGACAAATAAAGCGAACGTCTTTATTACTAGTCTCCCACGCAGGCGTTTTTAGGGGAACTCGTTTTTGGGGAGGGATGAAAAACGAGCTCCCCTAAAAACGCCTGCGTGGGAGGCTACTTTATTACTGATGATGAATATTTTGCGCGTTCCTTAATATTGCAGAAACTATCGTTGCTGAGGTATTGTGTTGTGATCTGGGGAACGGTCGCGGCGTAAACTGGACTACATCAAGTCCAGTTTGGTGACCGCATGCAGCTGTGCTTGGATACAATGAACTACAATATTAAGTAAATAAGCACCAGCAGTCGTTCTAGAAGGATCAAAGTATTTACGGCTCTTGCCTACGGTTAAGCTGCGCTTGGATGATTTGCATCAGTTAAGCCGTATGTTCAAGGACTCAAAGAAGAAGTAAGTGAATTGTTAATTAAGTTTTGAATTTAATGCGGCTTTTACTAACACAGTCTTTAAAAGGCATCTCTTAATTTTAGTTGTCTCGCGAACCACGTGATTTAGCATTAAAGGGACTACATCAGAAGGATATTGCTGTTTTCAGCCTCTGTACAGACCCCCCCTTCCCTCAGGAAAAATCGGAGGAGGGCTCTGTATACAGGCTATGCGGTTTTCAGCTAATTCTGTGCTGAAGCCATTATTTGTTAGTTAGTGCTTTACCCATGCATGCACAACGGGCATAACACTATAAATATCCTTGCCATCCTTAGCAATAGACGACATGTACAGGAAATAGTTTTAATGTCTAAATATAGACTTTTAAAGCTATATTTAGGTATAGAATGGCATAGAATTCCATATGGACTTTTTTTTTAGTCTATATATAGGCATAAACAATCGATGAGTACCCACGCTATGGGTTTTTAAAAACATAGCAAATCTATCTAGCAAACACGGTGACTTCCTATTCATGTGCATTTATTTCGCTTCTCTCGATCGTTATATTAACACTTTTTGAAATAATTTGGTGAGTAGAATAGCTTTTGTACAATTTTGATTTCAGATCGAATGAAGACAATATTCTTTTATACGATCGCGATTTGTACTTCCATTTTTAATCTACCATACAAGTTTTCCTGCTCAGCTTTTAAGCCCTCTTTACCCTACGCTTCGCTTTTACGGCTTAAACAGCCTGAACTGAATAGTACAGGTTTTTTTAGAGGAATTTTCCATTTTGAAAAGATAGTTAGCAAAATTATAGTAAGTAGACTAAACAGGGGAATGCATACCAGTCAGCGTTGCCCTCATTATTGCGAAGTCCTTCGTTTTTTTTCCCTTAACATTTTAGTAATGAGTAAGAGGTAAGTTAGGGAGCCAATTACCAGAAGACCTGTCCCCCGCTCATTCGTTTTCTATTCTAAGTGGTCTCCACCCCCACCCCCGGAAATTTATTGGAGGAAGTTTTTATGCAAATTTTCACTCAGTAAATTTTTAAAAAGAATGGAAGTTCACAACGGCGGGAGTACTACTAATGTTGACCACATTCAGTCTAGAGCTGTCCCTGGCAGCTTTTTCTATCACTGATCAGCCGTCATTGATGTTTCAGCTGGTAAATCATGCCATCACGTGTGAGTGAACTGAACGTACTGTATTCTTCTAATCAGTATATAGAAGCAGGTGTACTCAACTCATCCATTCGACGTTCGACATCTCGGCTATTTAATGTGATCGCTTCTTCACACCGCGAACGCCATGAACCTACTCAATACTTACCAGAAAACGACCATAAATAAGTTTTTCTTTTTTCTCTTTTTCAATTGGCCTTTTTATAGCAATTTCTCCTCCAAATTCATATGACAAAAACCCTTACTGATTTCCTCCTTCCGCCACTGAGGAAGTCACTTAAAACAGCCAGGTTATATCCTTCAAACCTACGTAGTTTTCCTCGATGAACGACTGTTCGGCCATTTCTGTACACATCAAACATGATGTACACTGATTTTCTCCCCTGAACTATCGACTTCAAATACCTTGCTCAATAGTAACGTTACACTTTCGGTGTCAATGCTTTTCGCTTCGATCGTCTTGGCAAGGGTAGCTTTGTTTTTGTTTAGAAGTGTACTTGGTGTGAACTCCCCGTCCCCCTCCCCCACCAAACCACAGGAGTTAAAACATTACAGCAGTTACCTTCAATTAAGCAAGACGATAAAACATCTTGCAACACCCTTACAGCTGACCCTTATTTGGAGTTAGTCGGCGGAGAGCTAGAGCAAGTTGACTTCCGCCCCAAAATTAGCATGACCAATCCTTTCTCGGGCGTTTTGTACACAGACTAGGTCGAGGGCGAGATACGGTTCTAATTTCAAAGGCTGGTATGTCTCGGCTGGCAAGTGAGCTTTGGGTTCTCAGTGACTTGAACAGTACTTTATTCACTTGAAGCCCCGGCGTTTCTAGTTCTAGCATTTCCGATGCGGCATTTACTTGTGGGCGGCGTTTGCCAGGTTCAAAGTCGTATTTCATAAATCGACTGACAGCAATTAACCAAAGATAAACCATTTGTATGTAAATATCATGTCAAAAAGACACATTCAAAGAATAACTGTTTCAATTTTTCTCTGAGACGGAATGATAATCGTCGAATTTGTGACTAACTTTCCTTTATAATCTTAATGAGAATAAATGCGGTAATCTTGGGTGAGGCGTTTATTCATGGGCTAAGCCATGCCATTAGCATGTAGGCTTTCCGTTTCTGGACTTTTTGGCGCCAATTCTTTGAGCCTGACTGGTAGATGCTCAAAAGTCGGCGGGAAAAGGTTTTTCTGTCGAGATCAAAGTTGGGGATAAGGATAAAAGAAAGGCCTCTAACACTTCACTACTGGCCATGGCTACGTTGGCTGAAACAGTTTATTCCACCAGTTCTGGGTTGTCGGAAATGCCGGTGTGATCATTCGAATGACATAACTTCGCCATCCTACCTTCATGCGGTAGTGATGGTACCGGTTTGAAAGAAATTTGGGATTTGCATGCAGTACTAAGCTCGCCTATAGTCTCTTGGCTAATCACGGCCTCCTCCTTGACATCATTTTTGGAGTTATAAGGTATCTCCCGTAAGTTAAATACTTAGGTAAATTACAATCACAAAGTGTTCATTAAAAGCAACTGTACTGTAACTCGGCCTAATCATGTAGTACAGTGACCAAATCATAGAAATTGATACAATAGTTGCATAGCAAGCGGAGAATCAGAATGGACTGGTGCTTTTCAGGGCGCGATAAATTCTGCCAGCTGTGTACAGGGAATAAATGAACGAAATTAAGGGAAATATTATTTAATCTTTACTCTTTTTCACGTAATCCATGCAGCAGGGCCTTGGTAACGAAATGGAATAATCCTGACCAACCCTGATCTTTAAAACAATTATTAATAAGCAATATTACGAAAGCACAAGGAGGCCTAAAAACGAGCAAGTATTTAGTATTGATTGAACGGATCTTGCAGTGATACATCTGGCATCCCCGCAGATTTTGCAGGGGCGAATGTTATCATCACTAACGTCCATGCAAGCGGATAGAGGGCCTGGAATCAAGAATGGTCAATCTTTCAACTTCGTTCCCGGCGCTTTTCCCTTATAAAGAACGAGATTGTCGATCTGTACACCGTATTATAAGATCTTTGTATTTAGACATAGGTTTTTTTCAAGGACACCTCGTTGTAGGGACTATATATTTGTCACCACTTGGTAACGTCCTCAGCCGATTGGCACCAGACTGAAAAATGGCACCAAGTAGTCGATCATTAGTTATGGATAATTACTGGAAAACGCTTAAGTTTCTGAGAAATTTGTATTGTCCAAACAAAACACTCGCTCTGCCTTGTGACATTTAAACTAAGCTGAAAACCTTGCCTGAACTTATTAACTCTGTTGATTTTAAACCGACTGTTAACCAAGTGAGAAAGGCTGGCCTTGAGTTGTAAGGCTACATTGTGCTTTACAGAAACAAAACAGGTGAGTGAAGTTTTACCGACAAAACGGTTTACTTTTGAGTAAAACTATGTATATAGGTGCTATCAGAAAAGATTTGTTGAGCGCACCACTGCATGTGCTCGACAAACGAGGCTATCGCCAGATTCTTACATCTAAACAGTGGTTAGATAATATTTGTTCTCATGTCTAGAGGGAAACGAGAACAAATTATTTTTACTCAAGTGAACAGTCAGGAATAGGCATGCATTTCGTTTGTTTGATAGGAGAACTACAGTAAAGCACTGTGGTTAAAATGACCTACAAATAATTCACGTACAATTCATAACACATGATAGCCGAAACTCTCTCAATCTCGAAATCTGTAGCGGACTTAATATAATAAAATACAACCGATCAACTGCCGACACACTGTACTAAACAAAGGTATATGAGAAAGAATTAAAGGTGAAATCTATTCATTCTGAACGAAAAAGTTATTAAGAAAGATCCGAAAAACGCTAAATAATCGACTTACGTCATCACAGAAAGGGAAAAACACGACTTCATGAACTGGTTAACTAAGACAACTAACAAATATGGGCAGGTTAAAATGTTCAACTTATCTTTGACAGTGTTCTTTGCGAGACAATTATTCTGGTACTATAGTTCAATGTTGACAAGCAATTTATTGTGTTACCAGTCAGGTATAGTATTCTTATAAGTCTTGGTCAGTGTTGAAAATAAGTATTTCCGCCATTACTTTCGAATATCTGATAAGCACTACCTAGTGGTTATGATAAAATTAGCCTAAGGAGTTAACATTTTGACTACTGTTACACAAGGCACCTCTCTTGACTGAAGTTAAACCATTAGTTTTGGGTTTTGCTTGTTATTTCACTTCATAAACATTTTTGTTCTAATGGCTCTCAGTGCAGTGCCTTTTTTCAAATCATGCTTGTTCACATCATGTTCATATCGCGTGTACGCTCAGTCGGCTGACTTGTGTTGTGGCGAGTTGTTATGACTTTTGGAAGCAACTTTGAACGAGGCAAGAAAAAAAAAAAGAAAAGAAAAGAAAAAAGAAATATAATAAGAGGAAAATGAAACGAGGTTTTAATAATCGGCAATCCTTAATCCTTAATTAATCGCGTATTATAAAGGAGATTGGGAGAATACCTCGCGCGCTCAGCGTCCGCGTCTCAGGATTCGAAGAGAACACTCCAGTGCCAAGACTAAACGAATGCCGAGTGAGTTCTGAATCAAAACAAAGCGTATTTCCAAGCAGTCTTTCCAGGTCCTTCTTCGAGAAATGAACCAGAGACGGAGATCGAGAATTGACCAGAAAAGACACTGAGGACTGCTTCAATGTTCAATGGGAGTAATTCAGCTAATTTATCAGTGTTTACTCACACAACAACGTAACCTTTATTTGGTCGAAACCGTTCCATAGTCATAGATGCGATACACTACTATTTAACACACGTGGGACCTTCAGCTGACCAAGGAGCCGGAGGTTTCGTCCGAGCTACTGCCAGACTTCGCAGGCCCCTTTCTTCTAGGGTACAAGGGTATCCAACCCAATCACCGCTGACCAATTTCACGTCTTCTTTGATGTGGTTGGCATTTTTAAAATACACAATACGAAGACTTCGTTTCACGACGCGCGAAATATTTTTGGTGCAGCTTCCTATTCTCTTGTCATCCTCGGAAACCCAGGGGCAATTAGTCGGGACGATACAATGTTCGTGGTGAAAGCTTACTATGCTATGGCCATGGGCGCTGTCGATTTAGTCAAAATTTCCAGAATTTCCGGTTCGGCGGTAAACTGAACACGTTTCGTCGGTTCGTCCCACTGGAAAATTCCCAGAAAAAGTGGAAAATCTAAAAAGGTAGGCCCGTTTTTCCGGCTGAAATTTCCGAACGGAATTTCGTGTCCCATTTACACGTTTCTCGGAGTTAATTGTACCAGTTCCAGGTCCACGGCAAGAAAATCTGTCACGGCCAGTTAGCAAATCAAAATGGCTTCCCTCGAGCTCATGTATCAATACACGGTTTGTTTTTTTTGCTGGCCCCACAGTGGAGGCACTTTTGCACCGCGAGTGCCCTGGCCTTGGATTAATTGTTAAGTATCTAGTAATGAGTAATAGCAATATTTATTCAGAGGTTCATATTCACTGAATAGAATCCCTGCAATTTTTCTGCTGACACGCTTTTCCCGCCATTTGCTCTCTTCAGACGCTTCTTCTTTAGATTCCAGTCGGTCGCCTTCACCCTATTCTGAAACTATGACATCTAACAAACTAACAAACTGGGAAGATCGTGATGTCAGGGACTTAATCACCTCTTAGGCCGATCATCCCGTCGGGCACCGTGACGTACCAGGGTTTACGGTGGAACCACTTCATCCCTTACCAATCGGAAATTCCACTTTTGCTCCCACCGAAATTTCCGTTTTTTTTTCCTAAATGAAAAGCGCCATGGGTGAGATCTTGGTTGCCCCTTGGCACTAAGTTACTCTTACCGAACCAGTTCCAGAAGCGTTTGAATTGCATGAATTGCATGAATTGGACTTAGTACGTGAGAAAGCCGGAATGGCTGTCGATCTAGTGACGGACCATTAGAAAACTTATGGGGGGCGGGGGGAGTACAAAAAATATTCGTGCAAGGGAAAATTAAATGAAAAAAAATTCATGTACACCAATTAACCTTAAAAAATATTCATGCTACGGCCTAAAAAAAATTCATACAAGGAATTTGATAACGAAAAAAAATTCCTGCGGCTCAAAAATTCTCCTCCCCCCCGTAACTTTTCTAATGGTCCGTCCCCTATCTTTCCCTATTCCTCAATATTTCCTATTAGAATCTAATTAATAGCCTTGAATGGAATGTCTACTTTACAAGTGATGAAAAGGCAAATCCAATACAGCTGCATTTAAAATGACTGCGTGAAATGAAAAATCTCAGAATTCCGGTTTCATTATCTGACTAGAGCTCATTAGGGACCACTCCTTTCCTGATCTGTGGAGGCGTGCGTGGCCAAGCGGTTAACACCTCGAACTCTGGAGTTGGAAGTGAGGTGAAATGTATAGGATACGACAGATGATATTGTCTAAGGAGTAACTCACCCCCACCTATTCATCGTGTTATCAACATCGGTAAAAAAAAAGTCTCTGTGGGAAGCACGAGTTTATTGCGTTCGTCTCAGTGACCACTACAGCTAGCAACAGGACAGAATAAACTGGAACAGCAAACCCTCATTCCCCGCGCCATTTTCCCATCCTTGCTTTGGGGCCGTCTAAATTTCCCATCTATTTTGTCCAAGATTGTAGAACTACTGAAAAAATTGTTACCTTTCATAATCTACTTTCTTATAACAAGTGAGAGCAAAGTCTCTACATCGCTGTGTGATATCGGATCTACTACGTCCGTGGTTTTGGCGGCAGTTTTACGCAAGAAGTTTGAGGCGAAAAAAAGACCGGAAAAAGAAATATCAAACTCAGATTAGGTAAAAAAGCAGGGTCGGACTTTCCGTTCCCCATTTCCGCTCCGAAATCATAACGATTATTTGACCTACTGGGAGACTAAAGTAGATTTGTAGTCATGTCACTATATAATGCAAAAAGCACCGACTGACATTTTCTAGATAATCGTTCAATTTTTATCATCGGCCTCACTGCAGGAAACTGGAGTGTGTTGTTGATTGTAAGGTGCTTTCGTTCCCTAGTTCGTCGAAAGCCTCTACTGGCGATCGATACAAGCAAAAAAGGACAAAGAGTTTCTTAAACGTACTCGAAAGGAAATCATTCACCAAAGTAAGCCAAAATACTCATTCGTACATTTTGGATATCACCTACTTTATTTTGTCTATTTTTGATCACTATAAAAAGCTATCAAATGATTAAATTTATACGCGGAGACTTGGATGACCGTCTTACACATATTTTTGACATCGCTTGATAAGTGAAAAAACTAACTGATTGTTTTTAGACTTTTCATTTGAGAGACTGGTTGACTTTTTTTGCTGGTATACTTAACAAATAATGCATTCAAATTTTGCCAAATCTTATTCTCTCAAACGTCCAAGGGAGCGTTTTGAGCTGCCATGTTTTGATGGGTTCGAAACTGAAGTGAGCGACGGTCCCCTATTTTCATCTGAGGACGATTGCAGATTTCGAGAGAGCTCTGGTCTTGTTTTCGTTCAGTAAGTGGAGCTAAGAAGGGCACAAGTTGTCTGTGTGGACGAAAATGAGAAGTGAGATATGGTACAGTTTTCACGCTTTCCTCTTTTTACATTTATCATGTAAGAAAATCAATATCGACAATCACAGGGGAAAATATATTGTATGCAGACTGTGTTATCTTTTAAGCTGATAACAGAAAAATGGCATGTTATCATTCCTTAAGGCAGAAACATTTACAACATTCCATTGACATAACATATCAAGATGATAAGACAGAGAGTTCACTGAGTGCTACATCTGATTTTCAATCACCGAGAAGCGGCTTTACAACTGAAAACAACTTGCAAGGGATGATAGAAAGAAGGTAAGATAAGATTTTTTTCTTCAAGAAAATCTCACATTTCTGAAATAACCGTCGAATCAACTTCTGTTACATTTTCTGTAATGATTGATAACTAGAAGAATGACTGACTTTTTTATTTTCGTGCTCCTTTCATGTTACGTGATGATGGTAAATGAAAGATACGAAAGTTGATTGTGTGCCCTTTTTTCAGCTCTCAGTATTGTTTTGATTTGGAGTTTGGCTTCTCTTTTCACTGTCTTTCGCTCTTACAGTTTAAAAATTACTTTTATTAAAACAACAATATTCAAGATGATGTTGTTTAATAACCAAGTGAGTCTCGCGTGAGTATTTGTAAAGTTTTTCCGAAATGGAATGTAGTGAATTTGCATGCTCTGTGAGGTGCCTGTAACGACGCGAAAGGGAAAAGGGGAAGTCCCTTTACTTTCCTCCCCAATTCCCTCTCCTTTCTCCCCGCCCTCGATCTCCCGGTTCCCCTAGCCATAGACGCCTGACATGCCACGCAGGCCACCTGAATCGTCAGTCTTGATCTCCTCGATTTTTGGCGGCGATTGGGATGATTTGAACGATCATATGGAACCAGGCTATATATACCATTTATTAACCGGGAGTGAGGTCATTACAGGGAAATCTCATAACGAGGCCTTGATGTATTGACCGAGGGATAGCGAGGTCAATACAAAAAAGCTCACAGTCATTACAAGAAAATCGCCCGCTCAGCAGCCAATCAGAGCGCGCGTACTACTGTAACCATATAATATATGGACTTCAGTTCTAACAAGCCAGTTGCAATTGCTCTAGTAGTGCGGATCGTCCCTCATAGATTAGGAGACCGGGTTTTTCTGTACTTAACACACACTTTAGCACAAGTCGGGAAATCGAGACGATCGCTCGGGCGATTATATGGAAAACAGGCTTTAATCTATCCTAGGAACCCCCAAAGCAGGCGTTTTTAGGGAAGTCGTATTTGTGGGCAGGAGGAAATACCACTGCCCTAAAACCACCCGCGTGGGAAGCTATAAAATATTCACTAGTGCAGAATGAACGTTTTGATCATTTTTATCTTGCCTTGGTGCCAGTCGCTAGAAATGACGGGTGGAAAGGTGAATCTTAAAAGTAAGTGGGCGTCTCTCGAAAAGACTTCGCCTGTGTATGGGTTGTTCCTTAATTGTTATAGTTGATAAGATATATTCATGATGAAGAGAACACACGCCGGAGCGAAGATTTATGAGGTAGTCCCACCAAATATCATGACAACAGATCCAAAACAACAAAATTTGTCCATTTTGGCAAGTTTGGAGGTTCTCGAAAGCGACCTGCACCACCAGTTTGCGTTGGCGACTGTTTTTGTGGTGCAAATTTCAACTCTTCCAAAATAATATTTTAGACATTCCGTATAAAGAGATCACTTGAGAAATACTGAGTCTGCTTTGCTACGTACCGGTGCCAATTGGATACCGCGACGCGGACGATGATAACACTGAGTTTTGTTCTTTTATTTCGACGTGTGATGCAGCGTTTCAGTTCTTTAACTATACTGCGCAACTCAAAGTACACGAGGCACTTCTGGTACTGATTTAAGACCAGGGCAACTCTACTCAAAAATTGTATGCGATGAATATTCTTTATTGAATTAAGGTATGTGTCCGAGTTATTTACGGTAAGCTTTCCTTGTGGTTTGACTCTAATAAGAGAGAGTCTCGTCTAAGCCAAATCATGGCGTTTTGGGTTGTCGCATGTGGGAGATTCGACCAGTGTATATTCAAATTTTTCTAATAAACCTGTTTCGTGTCCTCTTAAATGCTTCGCATATACGCTGATAAAATTGCTTGGTTAAGTCTCAAAGACTCATCTTATTTGAGAGGAAAACTCAACTGAAAATTACTAAGGAACAGTAAACCACTCATTAAACAGTGAACTACAGGAGGGACCGTAAACGAACCCACACGTCTGTATGGGAAGGGAAGTCATATTCTCCGATGTTGTGGTCTACCTCTACCTCTGTTATCGCTTATGTAGGGGGTTACGAGCAACTCGCTCGGTACACGATGCGGTACCAGGAATCTGAGTTTACATCTTGGTGTTCTTTTAATCTTCACACCGGCTCATATGTCTTGTTTACAGCATCACTTAACGAATTCTGCTAGACAACTAACAAATCGCAACTACCAACTCACTTAATTAGCACTATTGGCAACTTATATAAGTAAAACGTCGGTACGTTCAGGCTTGCTGACCATGAGAGTTACAAACGCTTTTCCGAATGACTTAAACAAATTTCCTGTTGATAACCAAAGTGGAATAAACAAACCCATAAGAAAACCAATGAAAGCGTGACAGCTAAACCCACGAGGCTCTTCCTTAAACCAAAACAGGAACTCTGATGTAGGTAACAATCAAGGTCAGCGATGGTTCCAAAACGTGCCCACTTCAAGGACTGATACTCAAATTTAATAAATGACGATCATGTTGAAAAACTACTTTAAAAAGGTAATAGAATTTGAAAACCTGTCCACACAAATACGTATTAACCTTGATCTATAAACTGATCATAACAAGACTCTAGTCACGAGTGAAACGGCATGCAAGCACAAACACGAAATAAACTTAGAATAACCTACAAAATACTTCACAACACTTATTTTGCTAATCATAAAGTATTGTCTAATGGGGAACCCCGGTCGAGAAGGAGGAAAACGCTTGTTTCTGAAACCAACGATTGTTAAAGGATTCAAATAAAACTGAATCATCTTTGACCTCATTTAAGTTGCGTGTTTCGTTTTTCCCGTGTGATCTCCGAGCCGATTCGGTTTTCCCTGCAGTAACAAACTAAGACTTTTTTGGGGGAGCTATTTTCCATGGTTGAGCGAGAGGTGCCTAGAACCAACCGAGATCTTTAAATCAAATGGATCCTTACTTCGTTTAGGCACAAATCATGTTATTGCTGATCTTGACCAAATTCCGTTACGGGCAGAAGTTCGAGCATTAACTGAAAGGCTTATTGTCATATACAAATTACAGCCAATGCTATTTGGACAACTCACTTCCCTTAGGGTAAGATTGCCAAACAGAGGAAGGAAGTTCTAAATAAGCTGATCTTCGTACCTTTGCAACCTAAAGCTCATCTTCTATTCTAAGGTTTTTGTTCCTTTAACAGGCGAGGAAACACCTACATGGTTTGCTTTAAAATCACAAAGCTTAGCGATATTTTCTAAATTCGGAAACTTATGCTTTCTACCTGAGAAACCTCTAAGGCGTAGTAACATCGTCGTACAAATCCTTCTACCGGTATTTTTAAGGTCACTCATCAATGCCGATGGTCATATTTCGAGCTTGGGAGACCTGTGCTTAAATATACCCCTATTGCTAGCAAACAACGTCTGCGGAAATGAATAACAACAATTGTATTACTACTAGGGATATTTTTCTCGAATACCTTTTACATAGCCATTTGCTAAGGTCGCTGATCGGAAGAAAATATGAAGTAGAAAAAGTTAAGTTGTATGGTAGGTGAAATCAGAATACAACAGGTAAGTTGATACTGAATATATTACTAAATGCTTTACAGTAGACAGTGTTTATGACAGCAGGTGTATGAAATTTGAAACTGAATTAGATAGATAGATAGATAGATAGATAGATAGATAGATAGATAGATAGATAGATAGATGGGGAGATAGATAGATAGATAGATAGATAGTTTATTAATAACCGATTTGCAACTAAAAGTTGAATTATACGATTATTTACAAAAAATTGAATATTGATAATTACATTAAAAAGACCACAAGTGATTTAAAACAGCAAATAAGGACACTATATATATGTTCTAAAAATATATATATAGAAGAGGTTTAAAAAATCTACTAAAACCGTTCAAGCCTTAAGGGGGTTAAAGGTAATAAAACTACTACGAAACCTGTTCGTCTTAAAAGCTGGCTTAAACTTCCGCATATTTCTTAGGTTAAAGGTACATGTGTTGCGAGTAGGAAGAAGTTCATGGAGCTTGTTCTGTTCGTTCTGTAAAACGTTCTTAAATAGTTTATCAACTAGTTCTTGGCGGCGGTCTGAAAGTTTAGTTAGACCTGATTCATTCAAGGCCTCATTATATGAGCAAAGAGGAAAAATGATGCGCATAGCCCGCTTTTGTACTCCTTCAAGTTCGTTGGAGAGGTACACGAGGAGGCCGTCATGAAAGACAGGACACGCCGCGTACTCTGTGATCGGACGAATACAAGTGCAGAAAAACTGGACTAACTCACGGGTACCAAGACCAGAGCGTTTAAGCTGAGATAAGCTATACAAGCGCTTTTTAGCTTTCTTAATAATGGAGTCAATGTGACAATTCCATTTCAAATCATTGGAGATGTTAATGCCTAGTATTTTGGCACTAGTAACTAAATCAATAGGCATGCCATTAACAACAACTGGATCGAAAGAAGTAGGGTTGTTAGTGTTAAAGTTTATAAGCAGTTACATATAAGCTTAAGTTTATAAGCAGAATTACTCAGTGTTTTCCCTCAGATGCCGCGTTTGAACCTCTACGTCTTCACCTATGGTGAAATTTTTTATTATCAAAGGGCAGTGAGAAAATTCCTTTCCATTTTTAAGTATGAGATCGCACTTTTTCTCAGTCAAATTCGTGTCGAAACACTCGCTGATTCCAGCGTCAGCCGCCAGGAAGTTACTTATGCAGTATTAATATCTTTCTATTTCATTTCCTTACTTAGTTTTCGGAACAGCAGTATTGTGAAACCATTTTTTTTATAACCGACATCAAACAAAACAGCCGAGTATACACTAAGTCTTTTTCTTCAGTGTTGCACAGCAAGGAAAAAGTATTTTATTTCCAAATTTCCGCCGCGGAAATTCAACACGCCAACATTGCTCGGGGATATGTTGGTCGCTTTGATGAGCGATGGCGTCTGCATTTTTGTGAAAGATAATTAAATTATAGATTTAGCCAGGGCTGAAAGCGAAGCTTATTCTTGTAGTTTACTCAAATACAAATAACTAAAATCGTGTTATGCTAAACGGCGACGGCAACGAGAACCGCTGAAAAAAGCAATAGGTCTAATTAGCTAAAAAAAACAACAACAACAACAACTTTGCACTTGCATTTGCAACGTGCAGCACACTTTTTAGTACATTTCTTTGCCGTTGTTTTACACTACTACAACGTGAAATTTCCTAGTTACACGTTGTATTTAGAAAATGTCCTAAGTGTTTCTTTTCACTGCCGGTCATTTTCATATTTGTGGCCACTAGTATTTCTTATATTCTCACCGCCGCTTTCATGTCTTTCTTTCAACGAAATTCGTCTCCTTTATTTCTTTATTTCTCTCCCTAGCTCTTTCTCTGCTATCCATGTCAGTGTAGACATTAAAATTTAGTGGAAAAAAAAAAGGACTCGGCTTCAACACTGGCTGTCAATTAATCTTCACATGGATGGATATATCTGACAGACTATTGACATTTTCGATGCCTTATTATAGAGCGGGTAGTAAATTTGACATTTATCATTGGCTTACATGTAGAGGGTGGACGGACGTACGGACGGTCACGTGATTACTAAAATTTCTCGCATCTTTTGGTTACCATTTTTTCTTACCCATGGTGCTCCGCTGTGAGATCTCCTCTATTACCGTTTTTATTTGTGAACAAAAGCCCTAACCGGACTGATGATTTCCGTGCTATCCGGTATAATACGGGGTCGTTTATACGAGGAAAAATAACACCGTCTTATATAAGACGGGTCCTAAATAAACGGCACATTTCGCTTGAAATTTAGCTAAGACGAACAGCTCCTAACACCTGTTCTTCGATAAGACGCGTCGTAGCTAAGTTCTCGGGTCCCGGATGTAGTTTTTATGAATTTTACGAGTGATATATTTTCCAGTAAAACACTCGTGTCTATGTAATAAATTTAACTAAATTATATTTTGTCAGTCTGACAAATCTGTTTTTTGGCACTCCAGAGCTTTTTAGAGCCGCAATCTTCGTCTCAGTGTCCTCATAACCTTGTAGACATCACCTCTCCCAGGGCTTACTGCTGACAACATTCGCTTGAAGCACCAATTTTGAGGGTTGTTTTTGAGACTTGCTTTATCTTTCAACAGTTTCGTGTTTGAATCATTGAGTGGGTCAAGGTTAGTCTTGATTTTCTCCTTATGGGTGTTTTCCTGTTTTGGTCTTTTGGTCCTAATCGTACTTGACTGTTTATGCTTAGCTACTGAGTTTACCTTTTTCCTTTTTTGAAATTCGCTTATCTTGACCTTGACGGATTTGTGACTTCGCAGCTGGTGGTGTTTGAGTGGATAAAGCAGACCTTGGATTACTTGTCCCGTTGAAGTGCCTGTTTAAGTTTGTTAACCACATCTGTAACCAGCGTTTTTGTTTTCAATGGGCTCTTGATCTCTTGTCAAAGGCAGCAGTGTGCTTTCAACAATTCCAAAACATTACCCTCATCGAGTTTATCTTGTTTTTGTCCCCACGGTCAGATTACCCAAGCATGTTCTCATTTTGGCTATTTCATCAGAGTCGCCACTTTTTGGCTCCTCAGTTAGTTAGTAGTGCAGTTCAGCTCAGTTCAGTTCAGTTTATTTTCCAGCTGTATTTTCCTCAATATTTTGACTAATTTTAGGTCACAGACTTTATAGATTGATGTTTACAGTGTAAAAGTAGTAGACGTTAGTAACCGCAAAAAGTCTTTTATAAAGCTAACAAAGACACTGCAAAGACGCAAAACCAGACGGCTCGGTACTTTTCCGCTTGACGAGCGAGTCGCTCATAAACTCCCTCCAAAAAGCTTTTAAAGCAAGTCAGTGTCAAATGACGAAAAATGAGCGAATCATCATAGAAAGGGAAACACCTATAAAACTTTCTAACTTTGTTTCCTGACAGCCTATCAGTCCAGACTTTACTGTCGACAATTATTTTCTTAGAAGGTAAATTTCAACTCTTGGTATTCTCCAATTAGCATTTATATCCAGTTGTATATCTCACAAGTAATTATTGTTCAGTCTTTACTGGTTGTTCATTCGAGTACATAGGAATTATTCTTTCTTGGTAGGAAAGCATGTTTTATTGTACATGTATTTTATAAACTGTGATAGAAATAGGGGAAAATCAGGCTGAATCTATGTTTTATTCAAGAGCCTTATTTCTTCCATTCTACAGTACCGAAACAAAAAGACAGTCAGCGGTACCTAATTAAAAATTTGGACCAACAGCGCCATAAACAGGCAGACCATAAGTGCAATTCGGTAAAACTAAGGCGCTCAATAGGTGGTCTACCGTCACCTTGACTAAAACCTTCCTTTCGTAAAGATCTTAATACAAACAGACACTTATTTGCCTTAATCAACTTAGCACGTACGTGTTCGCTATGTTTACAATTCTCCTGAAACGTAACACCTAAAATGGGCAGCTCCGTGCATTGCGGAATGTTATTAATTTGCGCGATATCCTGAATAAAACCTTTCTTGCGAAAAATAATTTCTTTACATTTCGACGGATTACAAATCATACTATTTTCCTTAGACCAAATTTAAAACTGATCCACCAAATCCGTAGGACAGTGGCCATTACTCCAAACGGGAACAATGAGAGTAGAGTCGTCCGCCTATTTAAACAGAGCTGGGTGACTATCTTTGCTAATTTCCAGATCATTAATAAAAATACTAAATATCATATTTATTCGAATAAGCGCCCAACCTCGAATTAGCGCCCACCTCGAATAAGCGCCCATCCTAAAGGCAGAAAAAGTTAATAAGCGCCCAGCCTCGAATAAGCGCCCACCCCACTCCACTCCCTCCCACAAAAACTCCAGTAAGAGATAATAAGAGACCCTCCCGAAGACGGAGTTTTCTTCAGGGTATTGTACAGAAACCCTTCGCTTTTTGTTATTAGCATTTACTGTTTTGTTGCAAAATATACTACTACATTTGCTGAGAATGGTGAGAATTTACTAAGCGCCCAGACTCGAATAAGCGCCCACTCTCAAGGTCCAAAAATTTAATAAGCGCCGAGGGCGGTTAATCGAATAAAGGCGGTAAGTACGGACCTCTCACACTGCCCTGTGTAGTGCCCCTGTTCACACTAGCTCTCTTCACGGTAGTAAATTGACCGTAATCATGATAAAACCAAATTCCTGTTGTGTTTCACTTCCCCACCGAAGGGACACACGCTACATTCTCATTTAAAAATAACCCAAAGTTGATACTTTTGACCGCACTAAAGACAACAACCAGCAGATTGAAAAGTAGCGTTCTTATATAGTTTTTGGAAATGGCAACCGCAGTTTTCAAGGCACTTAACTGTAGCGTTCCACCTCTGTTTGGATTGTTTAATTTTGTGGTTCTGCGGAACCTGTTGTCATTGATCTAATTTGTTGAGTGGTGGCCGTTTTCAATATTTTGTATTTTTAAAAAATGACAGCACATACCACCACCAGCTATCGCCGTTGTTCGCTTATTTACAGAGCCCGCAGGGACAGGTTGTCACGGGGAACTGGGGAGACTGAACGATGATTGGTAGTTTATTAATAGAAACAATTCTTCGATTCTAGGAACCTCTTGTACTTCCGAGAAAGAAATTACCATATTAAATATAACGCAATGATCTTTTTATACTTGTTATATATATATTTTTTCTACGTTTTGTTTCTTGGTTTTATTGCTCTTCGTTCCATCTTTCTATATCCTAACATCGGTAGAGAATGGCTTTGTCCGATTTATGATTACGAAAACGGAAACGGAAACGGAAGGAAGTAAAGATTTGGTGAGTTTTTTTTAAAGCATTAGCAGTTTATTAATATTAATACGCGACAAATTATTTACCCTATCTAGGCCTTCTCAGTTCAGTGTAAGATGCCTTTTTTTAAGAAAAATAAGTAATTCAGTACTATTTATCATCTGCTACTAGTTATGATTGATTATTAGTAATAGTTGTGCATCTACATTATTTTCAGCGTTTGTTCTTAGTGCTCTTTTGAACTTACAAAATGTTTTATATGATAATCTATAAATTGCTTCGTCCCCAAATTCTCCCATTTATTCTTTTGCAGTTTGTTTAAGAGTATAAACTTTGCTAAGTTTAGAAGAAATAACGAATCTTCTCATTAACTCGTACCAATAAGGAAAATACTTTTTGTCTGAACCTGTATCAGGCCACATCTTGTCTCCTCTCCGTTAATTTACAATTAATAAGGTACATACCTCAATGTGAGTCTCGTCGCAATTGATTATGACGTTGAAAAATAATTCACCTGTTGTGGAAAACGCTGCGGCAGAATATAAGGGATTTTTGCATTTGAACTTGATGCACTAAGACAAGAGATGTGAAACTTGGCTAAGAAGTAAAAAGCCGGCAAGAAGATGAACCGTTACGGTAAACAGTGCACGATGGATACCTAAATGGGTCCTAGTCCGGGAATCCCGTTAAACAATCCAAAAATTTTGCTATAAAATCTGTTCAGTAACGAAAGCATCGCTGATAAAATTAATTTTACTAGCCAAGTGGACGAGGTCTTTTAAAGAATGAGTGAACGTTTGACGAGTTGTAAACGTTAGGAATGAAAATGTAGGAAAGCGAAACAACAACAACAAAATGAGGACGACCTGTGGAGAAATTGCATTACTATAATCAAACTCTGACCAATGGTCGAGAATTATTTGAATACATGTCTCACAGTTACCCTAGGAAACCAAAGAACAGTGTATGGACATCTTCGCAATAGACTTTTTAAAGGACTTTTGTTACGCCAAATTTATTTCCAAAACTTTACTGCTCAGAAATAGCCTGCGTGGCAGGCGCAAAAGGGGGAGGGGGAGGGGAGAGGGAGAAAGGGAAAAGGGAAGGGAGCGCCTGCTCTAAGAGCCTATGTCTTTGCATAACGCCTACCAATTTTCTAGTAATCCGATTACGCTTACTGTCAATCAAGTGTCGCTACACTAGCCATTGCAGAAAAACATTACACTCACGGACTAAAGAAAATCGCTTAGTTATTCAGATCCAGAAGGCACTTTGGAGAAAATTGGAACCCTTATTCAGCCGTAATAAAAAAAAGCTTTACGCTTCAAAAGAGGTCAAAGAAATTGCGCTTGCATCAGAGGGCAAATCCTGCCGACTTGAAAAAATAACTACAGTCAATCGATATGTATGTCATGACCTCTCAGTGTGAAACGTGCGGCTAAAATAACATTTGCTCAGTATAAATGCAGAACCTTCCAGAGCATAATCTACCCAGCAGATAAAAACAACTTTATTGGAATAAGCAGCATTTTGGCATGAGGTAAAACCACCCTCTTTTATTGCTAAGTTACATCGGCGAATGTCATCGTTCGATAAATTGGCTAAATCTTTCGCTGGGTAGCCCAACAATTCCATCTCCTGCAACTGGTCTTCGATAATACTTTTCAGTGGCGAAATGACGAGAATCGCCGCATTACCATTCAGCTCGTAGTTCTTCGCGCGTACAAACATTTGGTAAATTAAACTCTTGCCGTATCCGGTCCGCAAAACCGCCAGAACATCTCTGTCGGCTAAAAGAGCCCTTACTGCTGATTCTTGCTCTGGCTAAAACAGTTTCTCTACCACTAGATAAATTCACATCTCTCAAAGCACTCTCTACGACATCCACGTCTACCGCTGCCATCTCGACTGTTTGTTGATTTATGAAACGCGCATTTCAATATGTTACTCATTACGGCTCAGCCAATCAGGAATTTGCGGACGCCAGCGTCCGCAGATATGAACAAAAGGGGGTTCTTAGAGCAGGCGTCCCCTCCCCATCTCCCCATTCCCCCTCCCCTTTTTCCCTTCCTCCCTATCCCCTACCCCCTACCCCTTTCGACGCCTGCTACGCAGGCTAGCTCAGAAATTACGTCCAAGAGCAACCACACCCCACTGGGGCCACAAAAATAAAACTGCTACACTCATTTAGGAGAGGTGAACTCAGATTTTTTTCTTCCGATTCACCGGTCAGTCACTGACTGAAAAAATATGTTAACTACTTTTTTTTTCTTCCCCGTCGGCTCCTGATTAATTAACGACGGTTTTTTCCCCCCGAAACGCCTGTCACGGGAGTAAATGTTTCATTTTCTTGCGTGAACTTTTTAGTTTCTAGAAATTGTCAAATTACTTAAAATATGCATATGCAAACGGATAAGATAAACCATCATTTAATTAACTGATATGTTCATATTGCAACAGTTTATCATTTCCATAACCTGAGCAGTACAACCGAACAGGTTGTCGAAACGTCAGTCACTGTCAACGACAGTCCTATTCAGCGCTGCGTTCACCCGGACGATCAAACTCAACCTACTAATGTAGTGACTCCGATCCTGGGTTCAAACTTTCACAAAGTATAAGTCTGTTAGTCTAATAAATAAATCGTCTTGCCGTTCTGAGAGTTCTCATCACTTCACACTATCGAAGCAAGTCCCTCATACTACTTATCACTGGAACAGAACTCGCAGCTCCAACCTGCTGGACCTAAATTTCCCACAGAACAAGTTTCAAACGATCTAAATTTCTTTAACACGCCTGTGTCACTGAATGAAAAACTCACCAGGCTAACAATGACTATCACATTTCTACCATTGCGCATGAGCACATATCGATATTCCAGTCCTAACAGTAAGCAGGATGTTTTTTGCATGAGGTTCTAAATTCAATGACCTTTAGTTAGTTCCCACGAGCCTCCTGTACGAGCTAAGTGGTAGAGCATTTGGACTAGTAACCAGAAGGAAATAGGTTTGACTTCTGTTGTGAGAACTCGGATTTTTTTCTTCCGAGCCGCCCGTCTGTAACATAGACATAGACTTACAATAGACGTGTACAGGAGCTCATGACGTCTATCATCAAATTTTAACATAGGTTGCAAGCTCTCAGTACATATTGGTTATCCTGACTGGTGCGGACGGGTGGAAGGGCGGACGGACGTACTGAAATGTGACTACCACAGTTTCTCGGATGCGTAGATAACCAAATTTTCTTACCCATGGTGCTCGGCTATAATTTTTAATCACGTTTACATGACTGGAAATCGGGTGAAGTCAAACTTCTTTAATTTGAATATAAAAGACAGTTGAATAACCGAGAAGAAATTTCAGGCAGAAGTTTATTACTTCCCACCAACAGGGAAAACATCAGGGAAAAGAAGTGGTGATGATTCGTTTCTCTGACGTAGCAGAAAGAAACTTCAACCCCCGGGAGGGGGGAGGGGCACTTGAGTATTTTTTGGGTGGGTATGTGCCGCCCGGGACTCCAAATTGGCACCCCGTTCGAAAAAAAAATTCCCCCTAAAATTGATACCCCGTTCTAGAAATGGGCCTATTTATCCAAGATGGCGCAGTCAGCGCTCGCGGCTCGCGCCAAAATATGCCCGCCCTGCACGCTAAAACACTGGGTGCAACAACAGTACAACAGTTTTCTTGTTAACGCATTGAACCGTATTCTTAAAAGCAATCTGTCCTTGAATAATTTCAAATGGCTGCTTACAAAACTGGAGCTTTCGTGCGTTCGAAATATTATACCCCGTTCTAGAAAACGCCTCTGAAATGGATACTCCGTTCTAAATCAGGAGCTTCAAAATCACGACCCCGTTGGGCAGCACATACCGGTATAGGTAATGTATGGGAGTACCCCCCGGGCTTCAACCACTGAATTCTTGAAAACACTCTCATCGTTTCAGATTGGCATAACTCAAGACCATTATATTGACCGCAAGTCCAAAAGCAGCTTCAAAAACGAATGTCATGTCTAGATTCTTCACAGTTGAGGAGAAGCAAAAACAAACAATAACTTCTTTTCATCCTGTTGCTACGTCGATCAGGAAATTCAAAACTATGCCCCGTCTAATAGCTACAGTTCGATTTTCTGCCTTGTTTGAAGCATGATCTTTATATATTTCGTGCTTTAATAGTAAAGAGAGTAACGGAAAATCCTGGTCGAGCCACCTTAACGTCCTCCATAAGGCGATGCATTAACAAATTTCACTTTTTAGTACATTTTCAGGAAATGTACGTGGTCTCGCGCCCCAATTTCCCTTTCCTTTCGTGCACCTTCCACGCAGGCTAAACCAAAAAGTATGTTGCACGTGTTGCGTTGCTGTTTTGCTTGGGACCTTTGTTGCCGCTGTTTCCGGCTAAGCCGAGAGCGGAACTGATCTGGATGATCTGGGTACGACGACGTAAGGTGTAAAATGCGCTGCGATGCAAAACTGAAGCGTAAACAAACATGGGGGCAGATGTCTAACGACGATCTGCAAAGCGTGAATGTGTATGATTTTCGCTTTGTGAGGAGTAATTGCTGGAGGAACTAGAGAGCAGTTCCCAACTGTAAGCGTTTTCCAGTAGTTATGGGAAAAACGTGCGATCCTGCAGAATTCATATAGCAACGCGTAAAATTATGCCGAGCGGAATCACTAGCCTATGCAGCAGTCGTTTTGTAGCTTACGGAACCACTTAAAATACTGCCTGATCGCACAAACCGTGTCGTTACCCAGACCAAAGAAACACACTCAAAAAATGTACTTTCTATACGCTAAGGTTTAACCTTACCACAGAGCCACGGGCATCGGCGACAAAAACTTCGGTTGTGTGGTAAAAAGCTGGGGTTTGTTGACCTTCATCATACATTCAAGATCAATTGAGATTGCAGATCTCCGTCGAAGTGTGTCCATCGATAAAGTCCTTGAAAGACGAATGTTTACGGTCACAGACTGAATGAAAGAGAGTTTAATACCTTGCTGGTCTATTATGCTTAAAGAAGAGATTATCTCGTAAGCTGTTTTCACTTTGTTACAGCCGTTTCAATCGCCCCCATCACCGAATCAGTCAACATTAAAAACATTTTTAATTCATGCAAACACGTCCACGGTCTCTAGAAACCAAAACGAACCCTTCCATCAGTTTGACTGCTTGAGGTTTTAAACGAAAATACCGCCGGACAAAGAAAATCAGATAATCCAAAATTGCTTTGGTAAGCTATTCTAATTCCTGTTCGTGCCTGATCACATGAAAACAACAAAAAACAAAAAAGAAATTAAGCGCGTGATGTGACGTCACGCTCTTATAGAGCGTGACCCCGAGACTTGATATCTATAAATTAAAATTACAATAGGTTATGATTATGCATATTCGTGATGTTGCGTCTAGGTTAAAGAAAGATTTCGTATATGCTACGTGCCTAAAACTGCTTACCAATCATGCTATCAATTCTATTTTGAAGAGGGGGCCA